TAAATGTTTACTCCATATTTGGAGTGTTGATAATGTATATTAGAGCCGCCGAGGGTAGCAAGCCCTTATCCCATATGGTTTTCAGATTTGTTAAATAAAGTTATGCATTGTGTTTTGAATAAAGTCATCTGACCGAGCAATAATAATACAGCATAAACATAAATAGCAAACAGTATCACACAAACACAAGCACAGCAGGCAAAAAAAGTTACACGGCACAAACAATAATAAGGAAAAAACAGTCCAGCAAAAGCATAGATCTTTAATTAACTTTTTACACTTTTGTTGTAAAAATTTTCATTTTATGTAAGTAAAATTTTTTCTGAGTTTTAAACACTGATCAGGGGTTATAAAATTAAAGAAATACGGTGTATTTTGTTAGGATGTCAAATAATTTATCTATTATTACTATTGAAGAATAATTCAAATCCATTGCTCTAGTGACAAGCAAAAAGAATAACTTAAGTTTAAATGCAAAAGGCTACTTATCTGTACAAACCACTAAACATAACTTCAAAGCATGTATTCACTATAGCCAGCCAACAAACTATTTTAACCAAAAGGAATAGATTATTTATTCTATGAAACTACACTACATATATCATATCAACTTTCGTTATTGACTGAATACTTGAAATTACTGTAGATTATATATAAATTTGCATCTATCTGCCAAAAAGCAACGCTAAAGCTGAATTCTAGCATAATTATGGGAACAATGTATAAGTATAAAATAATATAAACAAATAATGTTGCAAAAAGCTTTATTAATAAAAGTAACGAAATATTAAATTTAGTTCGACACAAATTGGTTACTTTTAATCTTACGCATATCAAATTCAAATTTTAATTTGATGTAACTCAATTATAAATTTATACCCATCTTAACTTAATATCTAACATTCATAGGTTAAGTAGGTTGAATTTCGGAAAAAATATTAATGGTTTCTTTGAAAAAAAGGAAAAAAAACGCATGTAACGGAAACGATGATGGACTATTACACTTTCTAAATTCGTATTAAGAATTAAAAGGTTAAAATTTGACTTTAAAAAAAGTTAAAAACTTAACTAAATGAGAAAAGGAAAAGATTTGACACTTTGAAATTAATGAGGACTTTTATATTAATGTAAAAGACTCGAATTATAGATGGATGACAAAATTATAAGTGATGAGATTGACGAAATACTTATTTGGTCAAATTTCGCCAAATTTCGTCACCCATCACTAATTCGAATAGCATAATATCTGCCGAAGCATAATAATTAACTCAATAAATAATTTAATTCGAATCTGGTAAAGAAAATATTATTAGAATAGCAACTTGAATTATATAAAGACTCCAATTTGGCTTTTCTTATAAAATTATCATATAATATGACTACCCGGAGTTGGGATACTATTTTTTAGTAAAGAGCGTTTGTAAAAGAAAATGAAGCCTAAGATCAGCAAACAAAGTGTACTTATTCCCGAGTAGATTCCCAGGCCAATAGTGGTTCCAAGGAGGGTGGAGTCGTCGGTATAGATTGTTACTGTTGGTGAAAGAGAAGTTGAAGGAGTAAAGGTGGGAGAAGTGGAAGTTGAAACAAGTTTAGCGCCAAAACAATCAAAAAGAACAAGTTTAGAAGTTTGGTTTAAAGTCAAGCTAGAAATGCTATTATTGGAACATTTTAACTCCACTAAGTTTGGTGTACTATGAAGATCAAGAGTAGTAAATAAATTACTAGTAATATCTAAATAAGCTAAATTGGGAGTGTAATAATCAAAAGCAGTGATATTATTGTGAGAAATATTTATGGTTTTTATAGAAGAAGAGTGTATAGTATAACTTTGATTTAACTGATTGTAAGATCCATCAAATTCTTCCATAATCAAAAGCGTGTCCCAACTCATGCCAGTTATTTGATTAAATGAAAAGTTCAGTTTTTTTAGGTTGGGTAAGGAACTGCCCAATTGAAAATCACCTTCTAAATTTTGATTACTAATATCTAAATTAACGATTTGATTTCTGACTTTGCCATAATTTTCTTTATCATCAACTCTTATACAAGTGCCATTTACGGGATAATAATGGTCTAACCAGGTTTTGGTGTCTCCCATAGTTTGTAGTTTGTTTTGTTTATAATTATAAAGTTTTCTCAAAAATATTATAATATTTAACGAGTAAATGGAAAAGTTTTGTGGGATTATTTCGAGAAAAAATAGGTTTAATTATTATTATTACTAATGTCTTTTTTTTTTTTATTAATGTTTCTAATTTATACTTTTTGACACACAAAGTTATACAAATTGATATTCAAATACGTACAGAGTAAAATATTTAAATTCAAAATATTAAAATTCGTACAAATTGACAGATTACATGAGTTCACATGTTGAATTTATCGTTTTAACTTGTTATGGATTTTTTGTGTATACGATGCTGATATTTTTCTGGTTAGCATTATGATTGAATGTGATTGTTGAAATATAAATTACTATGATCATTAGAGAGCTGATAAAGAGAAGCAAGGGGTAATCACATATATTTTTTGAACATGTAATCAGCAGCGTAAGAAAGATGAAATTAATTGCTAGAGTGCTTAAAGGCGATTGGGTAGTAGAAGAAGTTATTTGTTCTACATCACTCGCCTTGTAGTGAAAACTAGCTCTATCGCCCACCCCCGCCCGTCTCTCAATAACACGCAACTAAAGATATATGGTAAGCTTTGGTGGTATTGGTTAGGCGAGACCAACTTGATTCTGTGTTTTCCATTACCACTCTCCCCTCCGGAAGGGGGGGAGGGGATTTGTGGTTTACATAGTAAAATTTTAAAAAAAAATTTCTTTCAAAAAAAAATTTTTCTGAATTGCTCCTGACTATATAAAAACTTTCCGAAATAGCCCGTAGTCCTAGATATATTTATTTACTATGAGGGAGGGGGGATAATGTAAAACACAGAATCAAGTTGGTCTCGCCTTAGCGCTAATAGGTTCTACGACTTCCTTAAACAGTGCAAGGACCTAATGCTTGATAATTAAACTAGCGTTTGCAGGATGTTTGTGTTTTGGTGATCAGTTTCCGCGGCTGTCTTGGGCAGTGTGAGGACCCATATACAAGTAGCTATCACATTACTATATCATGCAATATAAACAATCTTCGTTATAGCTATTTGATTCCTTCTCGGCTGTATTCTTCTATGAGATACAGTATAATGATTAGCTTTGAACTTGGTTATATGTTTTTTAGCAGTCGTAAATATGTATTTGAAGATGTAATTGATTGTTGTGTGATCTGTTAGTTTGGAATGAAATATTCCCTTAGATAGTATGCATTTACAGTAACATGTTTGATATAGAACTTGTTAAGAATAGCAAACGGATTTCCATATATTTTCCTTTGTGTAAATAAAGTCATTTGGTAGAACAATAATATGAAATCAGTTTCGTACAAAATAACATTCAATTTTGTAAAAATTGCAACCGATTTCGTACAAATCACATTCAAATTTGTAAGAAACAAGCTTATTTGCTCATGGTTTGCCACAGGGGACCAATTTTACCGACCCATTTTCAATTTCCTTATCAAATAGTAAAATTTTTACGAAGCAAAAAAAAAAAAAAAACCTCAAAAATACAAGAAATGAGGGTCTAAACCTCTCTTGGGGCATTAACAAAAAATGTCGGGAGTGCAATTTTACATTTGCTTAATCTCTAACCTCTGAACAACCCCAGCCCTAATTTTAATTGCTTCGGTTTAACATCCTTCCAAATAAGATAATTTGAAAAATGGGTCGGTAAAATTGATCGCCACAGGGTTAATTCAGATTAGAGTATGCAAAAAATAAAATAAAATAAAATAAAATAAAAGCAATTCTCTATGTATTCGATAAGTTTTGTTTTGATGTGATTCATTTTTGATAGTGCTAAACTAAATTTCTCATAAGCTTAAAATATCAAATATATATAAGAACTTAAATAAAATTTGAATACGTATCAGGAACGGAGTAATATTGAAAATTTTATGCTGCTCAACAAAATCTTGATTTCACATGCATCACCGGCAAATTGTGTCTAAATTTGGAAATATCAATAAGATAGCTGCGCAGCACGCGGTGCCGCGCAGGACCAGTACGATCAGTTTCAGTAAAGTTTATGCATACTAAAAAAGGATTTTGCAAAAATGAGCATAGCGAACATCAAAAAAGTTGAACGGAACCATCCTTCCACATATTCATGTGATCGTACTGGTATTATGACAATCTTTTATCCATCCCTTTCTTTAATAAGAATAGACCATTACTGTACCGGTTTTTTTAAAGTAAAGTAAAAAAAGCAAGTAACCATAAATGCATTTAAATACACTACTATTTTCCGTATAACGATAATGCTTACTAAGGCCAGACCAATTTGATTTGGTGATTTACATTCCCCCTTCTTTTGGCCTCCCCTAGGATTGTCAAATTACCGTAATTTTACGTAATTTCGTAATTTTTCGGACACTTAGTTTTCATGTAATTTGTAAGAAACCTGTTCATACGCTCATATGATTGATTGGATCATATGTACTGTACAGTATATCGATTTGATCAGTGAACTTTATGCAGAATCTATTGTAGTTCAATAATGCTAGCTGAGTTTTTCATAGTGCTGGTACTATATATCACGTGTGAAATTTACATGAAATCCATACTTACGTGAAATTAATTTTCAATCTACCTCCCCCTTCTCACTCCCTTAATAAAAAAAATTTTTAGGATATATATATATATATATGATTTTGGCCGGAGAACTAATGCCGGGAGGAATTAAGATTAGAAATTGCAAGGATCCGAAAAATTCCGAAGAGAAAATGTACGAACATAAAAGACGAGCAAGGTCAGACCGATAATTTCAGATTGAAAAAAATTTTAATAAAATTTACTATGTATACGTTTAATTTTTCTCCTCCCTTTTTAAAAAAGGGATGTAATGTAAACCACTAAATCAAGTTGGTCTCGCCTAATCTTGATTTAAATTAATTGATAAATGTTTTGCTTACTCAACAACATTGAGCGGCATTTATTTTAACTTTCAACTATCAATTTTAATTATAATTTACGATTTTTTATTAGCTAATTAACATGTGATATTTTCCATATGACAAAAATTTATTATCTTGATTGGCTAAATCAATATAAATGATTGTCCTTATTTTAAACGGTTTTGAACGGTCTCCCCTGAAGAGGAATAGCCCGAGACTTTCAGGTTGAACCGAAATTTTTATTACAGCTTTTACGTATCATAAATTCCGAGAACTCTAATAAAAAAAAATTAGTCGAATGATTTTTTTTCTCACTCCGAAATTTATCAAATTGGCTGAAAAACCATTCAGCTAATTTTTATTGTGTTCCAGAAATTATTATCTTATACAGTGCAGGACGCCTTAAACCAGCAACTCAAATAAATAATTGTAATTGTTTCATGAAAATAACTAGTATAGCTAA